ATGTTCCTTGGTTCTAGTAAGCCAGAATCATAGAATGAAGAGGGGTGTATAAAATGTGTCAAGTAATAAATTTCCAGAGACATTTGATTTAAAAATAGCTATACCAGTATTAATAACACTAGTAATATACATCACAACTAACGACTTTGAGGAGGATTCATAATGAGGGGAAAGGGCTGTCAAATGTAATAACTATGTTCGGGCATTGATGACCACCTCTTTGCCCAGGAGTAATAATCATGACAGACAAGCACCTTTACTCAATCCAAGTAAATTGGCTAGGTGTTTTGTTGTTTTTGTTTTAAACTTCTGATAACTATTAATTGAAGTCTAGTCGTTAACAAAGACACAGACCATAAGTTTAAAATCAACACACTGGGGTTATAAGTGCATACTGAACCCTCACTATTCTGCACCCTGGTACATCTATCAGGCTGTCAGTATCTCTGCTCAAGATGTTACTTACAGATTTGGATCTTTATTTCTGGAAATATGCTTAAATTTGTTTAACAAATCTGCATTCTTTAGTCAGACTAGAGAAAATTTTAGTCTCTGACCTTGACATAAATTGCCCATTACCTTTATGGCAATTTTCCACCTTAGTTGTTAAACTCAGGCATATTAAGACATGCTGTTTAGATTTTAGGAAGCTAGTTTTTATTTGGCCCTTTGTAAATTTGGACGATCATCTGCTTCTGGTGGGGCTTAGCAGTTCTCGTGATTTGTATGAAATATAACATATGTCATTCATGACATCATGTCCTTAGATAATTATCCCATAATAGCATGTGTTATATTTAATTAAAATGTCATATTGAAAAATAGATTGGCTGCATCAAACAAGAACCGATCTCCCAGTGAGTTTCAGAAACATTTAATTTTGCAAGTGTGATATCTATGTCAGAAAATCACAAAGGGGTAATTTTCTCTGAAAGCCAAGTGTAGCATAGCACCAAATGAGAGGAAGCATTAATTAGTGAACAGTGATCATTTCGTGAATTGACTTAAAAGTTAGGGGTTTCTACATCAGCCGCCCTATCACATTAACTATTAGAATCAGTAACTGTTAAAAAGTGTTTGGGGCTGTAAATTTGAGAATTAGAACTAGTAAATATGTTCTTTCTACAGTTCATATCCAATTCGGGAAATACTCCACTTATTTACAGTATTTGTGAGACAGATAATACATTTCGAAAGTCCTCTTTGATGAATTGAACCAAAATTGTATAGTAAGAATATTATAAACATTCCCCTACCTCTTCATTATTATTACTAAAAGTCCAGATATATGTTCAAAAGTCAAATAAACAAAAATCTCACTAACAAAACTAAACCTCCCTTTCCTTCCTAGAAGTGAAAACAGAAGGCTAGCTTTCTTCTGTGAGAACAATGGTTACCGAATGCGGGGCCATGAGGAAGTTTAATCCTACCCAGTTTAAATAAGATAAAGTAATATATATTACGAAATCATCTGGTCTTGCTAATAACCCTCTTTTTTATTTTAATAAATCATTTTATTGGGGGCTCTTACAGTACTTATAACAATCCATATACATCCATTGTGTCAAGCACATTTGTACATATGTTGCCATCATCATTTCCCAAACATTTTCTTTCTACTTGAGCCCTTGGTATCAGCTCCTATTTTTCCCCCTCCCTCCCCTACCTTCCCACATACGTGAACCCTTGATAATTTATAAATTATTTTTATTTTCATATAAAAGATTTTTTTCCCTTATTTTCTTTTTTTTTCATTTTATTAGGGGCTCATCAATTGTGTAAAGCACATTAGTACATTCATTGCCTTCATCATTCTCAAAACATTTACTCTCCACCTAAGCCCCTGGCATCAGCTCATTTTTCCCCTCCCTCCCTCCCCCCCCTCCCTCACGAACCCTTGATAATTTATAAATTATTATTATTTTGTCATGTCTTAGACTGTCCGATGTCTCCCTTCATGCCCTTTTCTGTTGTCCATCCCCCA